TTTTTTGTCTATATTCTGATTTACCTCATTTTGTATTTTGCTTTGTGTGTTACCTGTTGTTCTGTCTGTACAGCACTTTGGTTGGCCTTGTTGCTGTTTTAAGTGCTTTATAAATAAAGTGGTATGGTATGGTATCCAGTCTACATGTGTTTTCTGGACTGGGAGAAGGCTTTTGACCGTGTTCCTGGGGGTACACTGTGGGGGGTGCTTCGTGAGTTTGGGGTCTGTTGCTACGAGTTGTTCGGTCCTTATACAAGCGGTGTGAGAGTTTGGTTCTCATTGCTGGTAGTTAGTCGGACCCCTTCAGGGTGGGAGCTGGTCTCACCAGGGCTGACCGTTGTCACCGGTTCTGTTCATAACTTTTATGGACAGAATTTCTCGGTGCAGCTGAGGGTGGAGGGAGTCCAGTTCAATGCCCTCCGGACTTAATCTCTCCTCTTTGCAAATGATGTGGTCCTGTTGGTGTCGTGATCTCCAGCTGCTCTCACTGGAGCAGTTCGCAGGCGAGTGTGAAGCAGCTGGGACGAGAACCAGCACCTCCAAATCTGAGGTCATGGCCCTCAGTCAGAAAATGGTGGGTTGTTCTCTTCAGGTCTGTCTCAAGTGGAGGAGTTCAAATACCTCAGGTTTTGTTCACGAGTGAGGGAAGAATGGAGCGTGAGATTGACAGACAGATTGGTGCAGTGTCTGCAGTATTGTGGACTCTGTGCCGGTCCGTCATGGTGAAGAGGGAGCTGAGCTATAAGGCAAAGCTCTCTGTTTACCGGTCAGTCTACAATCCTACCCTCAACTATGGTCATGAACTCTGGTAAGGATGCTCCTTGGACGCCTCCCTAGGGAGGTGCTTCAGGCATGTCCAACTGGGAGGAGAATCCGGAGAAGACCCAGGACACGCTGGAGAGACTACGTCTCTCGGTTGGCCTGGAAACACCTTGGAGTCCTCCCAGAAGAGCTGGAAGAGGCTGTGGAGAGAGACGTCTGGACCTCCCTGCCCAAGCTGCTGCCCCCGAGACCTGAGTCTGGAACAAGCAGAAGATGATGAATGGATGGATGTTTATATTAAAATAGAAAATATGAGGGACATATCCCTAAATTTGTTCATTAATGAACCTTACAATAACAGATACTGTTTTTGAAAATTCCCTAAATGAAATAATATCTTTTCAGCTCTGTCTCAAACACCTCTTCTGTTTCAGAATAAAAGAGACAAACTTTCTTATTTTTTTTAAGAGTCAAAAAAATAATTTGTGGGAAAATTCACCACAGAACCGACAGACAGACAGACAGACAGACAGACAGACAGACAGACAGGCAGGCAGGCAGGCAGGCAGGCAGGCAGACAGACAGACAGGCAGACATACAGACAGACAGGCATACAGACAGACAGGCATACAGACAGACAGACAGGCAGGCAGACAGACAGACAGGCAGGCAGGCAGACAAACAGACAGACAAGCAGGCAGACAGACAGACAGACAGACAAACAGGCAGGCAGGCAGACAGACAGGCAGGCAGGCAGACAGACAGGCAGACAGACAGACAGACAGACAGCCCAGTTTTCTTCAGCCTCCATGCAGCACAGTTAGTTAAAGAAGGCGTGAAGATTTTGGGCTTTAATACTCAAACTGTTCCATCACGCTGTCCAGGTGTTTTATGTCCACCTGTGTGGAGGTCACTGGGAGGGGTTCTGACAGGAATAATTACTGCCGGAGGTACAAACACATAAAACAGGCTGAGAGTAAAAATATGCATGAGAAAAACACGGCAGGCCCCGGTGGAATATCCCTGAATATTACAATGTTTTATCAAGATGTCCACCTAAAATAATCTGTTGACTTTTATCTCAGAGCACTTTTATTACATTTAATAACTTTTAATGGTTCATTTAGACTGGCCGTTTGGAAACAAATCTAAAATCAGAAAATCTCTAAGGACTATCTGAGTTCCTGTCATTGGATGAATATTCCTTTAGTCATCTTTATGGTTTCTGTCTTTAAATAATGTGATTTAAACATTGTTATTAAGGATTTTTGTCCTCCTGGTATTAATCTTTATTTGACTGCAGGACTTAGTCAGTACACTGAAGTCTGAGCTGGGTGGGCTGTTTGAGGATCTCATCGTGGCTCTGATGACGCCTGCGGACCTATACGACGCTTCTGAGTTGCACAAGGCTCTGAAGGTAAATAAAGATCCGTTTCCTCAGGTTGCAAGTCTCATAGTAGCTAAAATCTGCAGAAAACTTTAAAATTAATTTCTTGGAAAATATTACATCCCTTAAAAGTCATCTCTGTTAATTGAAATTACATTAAAATGATTTTTTTTTGTCTCATAAAAAAGTCTAAAACCTAAAATTGATTAGTAGCTGCAATTCTCCTTTTGTCTGCACAAATTTCTGAATTTAAAAAGTGCTTAACATTTTCATCACCACTGGCTGCAGCTGCTTTCCTTCAGCTCGGCTCAGACTCTGGAAACATCTTTGGGAATAATTAAGTCACAAATGTTTGAAACTGAGAGACAAACAGGAAGGACAGTTGGTGATTGCCTGAAAGTTGACGTGTCAGAATGATAATGGTAAATAATTATATAACATGAACTGTTTTTGTTTGCAAAGTGATTAAATTAATGCACATTTTCATGGAGGTTGACATAATTCCAGTTTACATTAAAGGCACGAGACGATGGCGCTGTGTATGTGTGTTTCTTCAAAGTCTGAAGAACTCCTGCACAAATTACATTAAAATACCAATAAAACAGAAATCAATCCTTTATTGAAAACTTTGCTTTAATGTCCAGTCATGTGTTTAGTTTTTTTTTAATTTAAATCAAATGATGTCAGATTAAAATGTGTGTAAAGCTTTGTACGTTGAGTTGTGTTGGTTTGCTGTAAACATTTGGTTTCATGTTGAGCTCGGTCGTTCTCTGTGTTTGGATCCCAGGGCGCCGGCACCGACGATCAAGTCCTGATTGAGATCTTGGCCTCCAGAAGCGGCGAAGAGATTAAAGAAATTGTTAAAGTCTACAAGAAAGGTGATGAACTGAAAAACAGGATTATTGAGGATAACGTTGGCCCGGATAAACTCTAATGAGTTTATTTATCCTGAAATAATCATCTGTTTAACTAATGACCTAGATTTAAACAGTTGTTTTTATTTATTTATTTTTATTTTTAAATATCTGCAATTTAATTAGTTTATAATCTTGTTCCAAAAGACCTACATTTTGTGATTTTTATACTTCTCGGAATATTTAAAACAATTCTATTTTTTTCCACAAAAATAGATTGAGATATCTTCAGTTCTTAAAAAAGCTTTTTTTTTTTTTTTTATTAAATCTCTTCAGCATACTGGCTCCAGTTTTGTGTTCATAAGTTCCTTTTAGCTTTTTTTTTTTGCTATCATTCTGCTAATTTTAGATTTTAGCTATAGTTTAGCTAATTTTAAGATTTTAACTAGAATCTAGAAAAATGTTAAGATTTTAGCTACAATTTTGTTGTTGTTTGCAGTTAGTCTCCCAACAAACTATCAACAACAATTTAGCTTGTTTTAGCTTTTAGCTGATTTTGTGATTGTTAAAGCATTTAGCTATTGTTGTAATGTGCTAATATTATTTCTGCCAGTTCTCGATTTTACCTACTTTTGCAGATTTTCTCCGTTTTGCTACAGTTTTGCTATTTTATTTTGAAGGGCACAGTTTTATAAATTTATTTTTTATCTACTATTTTTCTAACTTTAGCTTTATTTACAGTGCAGTATTACTAATTTTTGCTAAACCATTCTTAATATTTAGCCGAGTTTAGCTTTTACAATTTATTTTTTGCTGATTTTATCTTTTAGGTACTGTTCTGCCATTTATTTTTAGCTATTAGTTCTTCTGATTGAAGATTTTAGCTACTATTCTGCTAATTAATTACTTGCTGAGCAAAACTACCGTTAGTTTTACTCCGTTTAGCTTGCGGTCAGTTTAAGTGTCTTTGTGAATGTTTCAGTTTTTGTTTTGATCGTTTCATTTCTGTTCTGCTTATTTTAACTCTTAAACTTCAGTTTTAGCTTCTTCAACAACTTTTATGAAAATCACCCAGATGTCAACGTCCACCCTGAATTTCAAAAGAAAATAAAAATGATCCCAGCTTCCTTTAACACAAAGTTTAGGACAATAATCATGTTTTTTTGTAAGAAATGCTTCCTGTATTCCTAAAATGTTTTTGAAAAAGCAGATTTTGTGAACAACATAAAATGAAAGTGACTAAAGAAAAAAGAATAAGAGCAAAGAGCGTGTTGTGTCTGATCGAGACAAAAGGGAAGATCGCTAATCAACTAATCAAATGGCTCCGGCTGCTGCTGCTCCTGCAGAACGAAGGACAGCTTATCCATCACCTCCGTTAGCAACTGCTGAGAGAGAACCTCTTTTCTCTCGTCTCTCCTCCAGAGTTTGGTGGTAAACTGGAGAAAGATATCTGCAGTGACACTGGAGGGAGCTACAGGAAGCTTCTGGTGATCCTGCTACAGGTAGAGAGTGTGTGTGTGTCTTTGTAGCCTATTTGTTGCTTCGTAAGGCTCATTTTTCTAACTTTACTACACTGTGAGGACCTACTGCTCCTTATGGGGCCCAAAGTCGGGGCCCCATAAGAAGAAGTGTCGGTGGGGAGGTCAATGGGATGGAAGTGATTATGTGATTTGGAATTGATTATGGTGACATTATTTACATGAACGCTCCTACATGAACCCTGCAGATGTTGGATGCTGTCTATCATGGTGCACTAAGATTCATAACTGGCTGTGATTATCGTACCCACCACTGCACCCAGTATTCACTGGTTAACTGGACATCATTAACTTCACGCAGACTCTCTCACTGGTATATTTTCATCTTTAAATCACTTCTTCGTCTGTTGCCTTCATACATCTCCTCCTACATGTCTCTGTGTGAGTGCAGCTACAGCGTGCGCTCTCAGGACATTATTACCTGCAGTGTTCCCTCAGTGAGGACTGAACTAGGCAAAAGGGCCTTCTCCTATTCCGCTCCTGTTTCCTGGAATATCTTACAAAAAGATTTGAAGCTCTCGACCTTGACCTCTCTAAGTGTCTTTAAGAATCTGTTGGACACCTGGCAGGGTCCAATGCAGACATGTTCCTGTTGTTAGTTTTATACATTTGTCTTGGAATCTAGCTGTTTTTTTGTTTTGTTACCTTTTCCTTTTAGCCATCCTATTTGTTAAAAAAAAAAAAAAAAAAAAACTGTAGTATGCTTTTTTATAACTGTTTATTGTTGTTGCTGTTGTCCATTGTTGTCATCTTTCTTTGTTGAAACCAGGTCTCTCTTGTAAATGAGTCCTCGAGGCTCAATGGGATTTACCTGTAGAAATAAAGGTTGATTGATTGAAGTCAATGCAAAGTCCCTGTAATGATAGAAAGACATACTGTGTGTGTATGTTTGTATTTGTGACCTTTAGAGGCCAAGATTTCCAACACATACTTTGTGTGAACCAACTGCTCCTCAAGTCTGGGCCCCATAAGAAGCGCGGCCGGTGGGTTGGGGGTTTAGGACTAAGGTGTGAATTGAGGATGTGTTAGGTTTAGGGTCAGGGTCAGGCTATAGACATTAATGAAAAATGAATGGAAGTCAATGCAAAGTCCACATAAAGATTGCAAGACAAACCTGTGTGTGTGTGTGTGCCTCTGGTGATGTGACTACAAAGTCTGAGGGGGAGAACGGAGACGGGACCGTTGGTTCTGTTCGTGTTCCGCACACAGAAAAGTAACACCAGGTCTGAGGTTGTATCAGGATCGTTTCATCTTCAGGGGTTACTTGAGCAGAAATGAACTCGCAGCTCATCTTTACTGACCTACTTTAGCTCTTTCTATCTCACCTTGTCTTTCTGTTTTGCCCCTGCATGCTGCATTTTCTTTAAAGTTAACAGTCTGATTGCTGAGTCAGCATTCACACTGTTGTTTTTCTGGTTTATTTATGGATCTTATTTGCATACTATTTACTTCAGCATACTTAATGCAGTTTTAGCCGTTCATACTTTAAAATATTCAGCTCATTCAGGAGACGGGTGCTAGGACTTTTGTTTTTGTAACTTTAAATCTTTTCAAAAATTATTTTTATTAACAGATATTTCCCCGTGGAAATCACTGAAATCTTTTTCGCTCCTTTAACAACACTGTTCTCAGCTGCTCTTGGCTACTGGCTGTATATTTATAGCTTCCTTATGCTACTTTAAGCTACTGTTCTGCTAGCTTTACCTTTTAGTTAACCTTTTGTTACTTTCAGTTTTTAGCTAGACATTTACAGCATTTAAATTGAAACTACAATTCTGCATATTTTTTTATATTTTAGATAGTCTTTTGATAAATTTTAGCTACCCATTTAGCTTATGGTTGGTAAGCTATTAGCTATCATTGAACTACTTTCAGCTCATTGCTAACCTTTTGCTTTTGTTTTAGCTAGACTTTTGCTAAGCTTAACTTTGTGCTACTTAGCTTTTAGTTTGCGTTTTGGTCCTTCAGCCTTTTTTATTAACAGTTCTGCTACTTTTATGTTTTAGCTAGCATTTTCTTAATTTTAGCTTTTGTCTTTTTCTAATTTTAACTTCTAGTTGTCTTTGGATACTTTTAGGTTTTAGCTAGTGTTTGGCTTGTTTTAGCTTTAACAACTCAGCTTCAGTAAATTTCATATTCAGCACTTAACATTCACACTGCATTTTTTAAAGCAAATACTAAAACATTTTACGTTTATTTATTTAAGTATTGTTTGTTTGTTTGTTTGAAGGGGAGCCGAGAAGAGGAGGTAGATGAGGACAACATTGAAAATGACGCCAAGGTAACAAAACTGTTTTGTTTTCCTCGACTTCCTGTGAGATCAAGAAATCTTTGCAGCAAACACAAAAATCATTTTATTTTAAGAAACTCCTTCTCAGTTCATTCATGCATAAATGTTGTTGCTCAAACAATATTTCCAAACAACAAACTGTAGTTAAATCTGCTCCACCTTTTTAAACCTCAGCTTTTCAGTGTTTTATGTCAGGGTCTGGTTATCACCCCCCAGTGGAGAGGGATGATGTTTTGGCCTGAGTGCATCTTGGTGCTAAAATACAACCCCGGCTCATTAGAAGATGATCTCACTCAGACAAACAAGCACCCTTTGAGGATTTTCTCGTCATTTTTTAAATTATCTTCACAAACAAAAACATGTTTCAAATGTTCATAACATTAACCATCACTAAACGTTTATTGTGGGGTATTTCTGCACTAGAAGGGATTTCCATTTCTCTACAGGAGATTACAGGAAGTTACTGTCAGGTCAGGAAATGGACCAGCTGTCACTCAGAGCCTTTAATCGACAACACGGAAAAATAAATCAGTGTCAGTTGTAAGGATGGACAGATCTACCATCTTTTCATCAAAAGAGAAAACTCTCCACCCAAGAGCAGATGCAGAAGTTTGGTTTTAAATGTAGAGAGCTGCATAATTATCTCATTCAGATGTGTTCTTCTTCTTCTTTACTACTAATAGGAAGCCGTTAAGTCCTGTGATGATCCAATTTATAAGAACAGGCTCCTGGTCCTCGCGGGGGTGTGTGTGTGTGTGTGTGTGTGTTTAAATCGAAGCAACATACTGTTACCTAGTCCAGTCCGAAGGAATCTCATTATCAACCGACACTAAAGGAGGACGAGAATGAATAGATCTCTGCCCATCTCTTTGTGTGTCTGTCTGAAACACTGGACAAATGTGAATATGCGTCTACAACTGATTAACTTCTGTTATTAACCCAATCCAAGATGGCCACCCCAACAAACTGACATTAAAAACACAAACGTCTTTAATTCAATCATTTTAATTGAGGTAAAGTTTGTTGTGGTTGTAGCTGAGAATAGTTTACAACACATATTTTAAGCTCATTGCGTATGAACTTATCTTAAATCGTTAAAATATTGGAGTACTATCCCGTTTAACTGTTAGCAAAATATCTCATAAATACTGGTAAGAGAAAATACATTTGACCACTTGACTGTTTTATAAAACTGTTTTCTGAATTATTTTAACACCATTGGTCAAACTCGTGGACTTTATGCATTGCCTGTTCAAACAATGCGGGTGAGGCAGTGTAGTGCTCTGGTTCACCTCTGGGGGCGCTGTGTCAAATGCAATATATGCAGTAGGAGGATAGAGCATGCCCATTGCTGTCTTTCTTTATATCGTCAATATACATGTTTTATTCCACATGTCCTACACATGCTGATGTTCTAGTCTGTCTAATATATTTAATGAATGTGTGTGACGTATTTTTTCTTTCTAATCGGTCATAAACGCACACTGAAATACACAGGGTGAGGCAGAAAGTACCGTGCCGCACCGATAGGGGGCAGTGCTGCCCCATAGTTAAAATGAAGCAGGTGCAGTCGCTGAGCTTTCTTCTGTTACGCAGTGGGACGAAATTTGTTGAGACAAAACGGAAGATCATATCTCAAAACTAAAGGATTTTTCTAAACTCATTCATCTTAAATAAAGGTAAGATAATACATGATTTTTAAATTTATTTAAAAAGAGAGGATTTGATTAAAGCATAATTAGATGCCTTAAAAAAATCTAAATTAAAATAAAAGCTTCTGTTTTGGGTTCATGTATGTGAGCATCCGATTTCAGACGTCGGTGCCTCAGCTGTCACAAACCTCACCTCAGTGGCTGACAGTCATTCACAACGCATGCTTTGAGAGGGGTAAGACTGAGCATTATATTAATTTAACTCAAATGGATACATTTATCATCTTAAGATAATGTTAGTCCTAAACATTGGCATGAATGATGAGAAGTGATATAGGACTTTAATTGTTCCCATCAAGGAACGAAAAGGTAGAATACGAAATACTTTGTGTCCATCCATTCGTCTGTAGTTACACACACACATAACATTGCTTGTTTCTCGCTCCAGGATCCGTCACTTTGTTCTGTCTCAGACAAAATCAAAACCTCCCTCTATTCTTCGATGCAGTAACTCCTACACTCTCAAATATCCTGCACTCCCTGTTCAGATCCTTCAGTGATGGGGGACATCTGCTGCTTCTGTGAAAAGGAAACACAAGCAGGATGAAGGGTTCTGAGCAACAACTGAATGGGCGTAAACATCTTTGTCATCATGATGTGAATTTAATACCTGCCTAAGGTGCAGCAAGCCAAGACCTCACAGCCCCTGCAGTATTGACAGGATATTAACTTCCTGTAAGGGGACTCCGCGCCTGGAAGTCGTTCCTCATTAATGATATTGAGTTGTGAATTGGGATCCATTGCTGATGACCGTTACATAATTATTTATGTGTCTGTCAGAACAAAACGTGTGCATGACTCTGGTTTTTTCTTTTAGTTCCATTTTTTAAAATCCCTCAGTAACCAGATTACTGAGAATCACAAAGGCCTGGAAATCCTTCAAAGGTTGCTCATCACCTGTCAGTTTTAATTCAAGATGGCCACCGCAGCCACTTAATTACTGTCAAAGTTTCAAGTAAAGGTGTCGCACAATGAGTCGTTCTCAGAGTAAGCATTGAGAATGACTCTCAGCTACTGCCACACTACATTTGAGCTCATTATCTGTAAACTTGAATTGAGTTACATTTTGGTGTGGGTTAATATTGATTAACTGTGTCGGCCATCTTGCTTTGAGGAGAATCGAAATGTTATTCGGTTGTAAATGTACATCCAATAAATCTTTTTTTTTGTTTGTTTTTTTAATGTTTCCAAGATTCATGATATATTTTGCTAACAGACAGACAGAGTTGAGTCAATTACAACAAAGTTTTGAAACAAACCCTGCATGATCAGCTGTCAACTACTACTCAGTTTTTGTAAATTGGCTTTTTTATACCAACTTTTGTGATCGCTAGGGTTGCCCAGCTGTGGCGGCCATTTTGAATTAGATTGACTTCAAAAGTCAATTTGCAAATAGTCACTTTCCGAGAGTTTTTCTTGATTCTGGTTCGTGAGATTATTTTTCCAACAATCAGACAAAAACACATTTGCAGACGTGGGCAAACATATTATGGATAATAATGCCTAATTAAAATATATATTTTTAATCTGATTAATTTTACCATCCATTTCTCACATGATAACGTGCAGGTCAAATGAGAGAAATGTGAGGCTGCAGGAGCCTTTCCTTGTAAAAGCAAGAAGTAAAAAATAAATAAAACCAGTTTTCTGAGGTGTTATTTCTCTCTCGGTGGAGGCTCTTCATTAGCGCCCTCACGTCTGCTCTGCCAGGTGGCTGAGTGTGACTACAGGTGTGCCTCTGCCATTTCAGGACTTGTATGCTGCTGGTGATGGCAAGGTTGGCACCGATGAGGAAAAATTCATCACAATCCTTGGCAACAGGAGCGTGGAGCATCTCAGGCAAGGTGAGGCCGGTGCATGTTAATGTTGGAATGATTTACAAATGGATCCTGGTAATAAACAAACAAACAATACAAGAAAATCATTAAAAGTCTAAGCTACAGAGTGTAGGACAGAAACACTGAGACACTGGATGAAAGCATAAAGGGTTTTAAAGGTGAGATGCACCAGAGCCACAAGCTCAGCAGCTGTCCTCTGGGCCCAAACTGCTCAAGCCAAGACGGGTCAGAGGCAGAACTTGTCCAGACTAGTAACAAGTCAGTGGGAACACACAAGGCTATGAGATTTTAAAATGGATGAGTTGCTGCAGCAGAAAACAAGACATGTTCTCTACAAGTAAAAAATAAATACATAAAACCTAAAAACTTCTGGAACCAGTATGGACTTTCACATGAACATGAACAAATCCAGTAGATTTAATTAGTTAATACAGCAAAAAAAAACTAAATGGTTAATATCTAACAAGGCTGAGTCAGGATGTTGTTCTTCTTGCTCTCCTGTGTTGGACCATCCTTTTGGTCAATGGTTCTGACCAGGGGCGATTCTAGAATCTGCCCTTTAGGGGTGCTTAACCCCCAGTGTGTACAATGACTCTCGGCTTGAACAGTGTGGTGACCATTGACGTCGGAAGCATTTGTAGCGTAATTTTTTAATAAAGTAGATGCTATTTCCTGCATTCTGGTGTATTTTAAAGGGTTGTTAAACATCTACACTTGCCTACATAAGTAAACACTTGATTCAGTAACTTTTTTAGAGAGCAAGGCATAAGAAGTAGCCTGACCAACAGCTCTCCTTGTGTGAATAGAGTCTGCCATCGTGCATGAAAAGACAAAGGCAGTTATTACCCACTAGCTGTCAAATTACAGAACTCTTGATAATAATACCAAACAATTAACAGTAACATTGTATTAAGCCACATCTTTGACACCTAATATGTTTATTGCTGCTGCACTATGTGGCTGTATAATATATATCACTACCTTATCATCAAAATGCAATTGATCGCAATGTTACTCACTACCTGTGCAATAACCTGTCACACAACCTGTGTCAGTTATGCACAATATGCATCATGTGCATTTAAGCTTATAGTAGTCCTTTGTTTATCTTGGGGGATCCGTACCTTGAAGCCCTGCGATAAGTGAAAAACCGCAAAGTAGGAATAGTAGTACAAGTAGTAAGTAGTAGTTCTATGTCGTATAGGCTTCGCCCTTTAAGGCTGTTGATGACGGGTTTATCCCGTTATGCGCAAGCATCATACTGAAAAAATTAG